AGAGCGTTAAAAAGCAAACACAAACAGAACGAAACACTTTTTGAGAAACAAAAGAACACTTCGAAAAAACGCAATTTTGACACATAGTAGGGGGAAAAAATCCTGAAATAAAGTCTGAAATCTGGGGTAAAATGATATGGTATCTCTCAAATCTTTTGCTTTGACTATCTATATTTCAATAATTTCTTCAGTTTTATCCTTGTATTTCTATCTTCAGTTGAGATAAATATAAATGGAATATTTTTTAAATTATTTAAGAGCATTAATTTATGGAACATTTGGCTCAAATTTACAGAATTCTGTCTTTTAATCAATCAGTCTATTCTTCAATACAAATACTTGCACGAAAGGATCTGGCACAATATTCATGAAATATTAACAATTTCTCTGCAGTGGGATTTTGAGACAGTTCATAATTTTCTGTGATACCTACATTTATTTTTTAAAAATCACATATTTTAATGAATGACAATGAACTCATTGGGGTAAAAAAAAAAAGAATTAGACGACAAAGATTGAGAGAGAAAAGAAAAATGAGATATCACCATTCTGTTAGTAAGTCTAGATTATGGCCGTCTATTCCATAGCTCATAGGAAAATCAGATAATTTCTCTGAAACAGAAGCATAGCATGTTCGTTTTCATCTTATTATCCTGCAAGATTTTCATTAAACTGCCACTAATTCAGGATCGTATCTATTCTCTGTAGTAATTTACACAAAACCCTCTCTGTCCCAGCAGGTCTTTCCAACAACACCAACTCTCACGTCCTCATGTTTACCTGCTTCCCAACACTGTGAACGAGCTGTTGAAAGTTTCCTCTTGAAGTTCAAAATCTGTATCTCTTTTCATGCCTCAGATGGTGGTAAAAATATGCTTTTTTTGTTTGTGGGAGTCGGCAGAAGGATAAGAACTCCCAGTTATTCTACAAAAATCAGTTTAAGATCTCTATGAAGCCTTCCTGCCATAACTCTTTTTTTCCCCCATCAACAGTCATACAGTTACATGCATTCTTTTCTCACTGTGTATACCAGTGCCATGCCAAGCAATATTAGTAAAGTCTCTCAGTGGTGTGCAACTCTTTCCACCCTGTGGACTATAGCCTACCAGGCTCCTCTCTCCATGGGATTCTTATTAGGGGCTGATGCAAAAGGATAAATTATTAATACCAATCCCATATTTATTTAAAACTTAGGAATTTTGTTCATCATCAATTTTTGCATTAATTTCCATTTTAAATGATGGAAAATTACCTTTCAAAGTTCTTTTCAGCTCTTTGCGTTTATTTTGGTCACTAACTTCTCTATGATTCATGTCCATTTGTAAAAGACGGTGATTCTACTCTCTGCCAACTCAAATGCAAGGTTTGTGAGGTTCAATTTAAAGTATACATTATTCAAATACTCTGTATACACACAAAATGCAAGCCCTTTTCAACTGTGGATTCATCCTGTAAGTATTTATCATCCCTAGTCATACCTGGAAGTTGGAAGTAATTACATAGCAGCTAGTGAATACAGACCCCGGTACTGAAGGAAACAATTCTGAATTTCATCTTTAAATGGTAGAGACAAGTACGTCTTTCGTGGTCCAGTGGTTAAGAATCTACCTTGCAATGCAGAGGACGTGGGTTTGATTCCTGGTTGGGGAACTAAGATCCCACAGGCTGCAGCACAATGAAGCCTGTTTGCCACAACTGTATAGTCTATGCACTGCACCAAAAGTTCCTGCACAATGCAATGACGATCCTGAGTGCTGCAACTAAAATGAAGCCAAAAAAAAAAAAAGAGAGAGACATAAAAAGGTGCCACTTATATATAGCTATTCTTTCCACAAACTGCCAGGATTTGGGCTCTCCTGATTGCAGCCATGAAATTAAAAGGCGCTTACTCCTTGGAAGGAAAGTTATGACCAACCTAGATAGCATATTACAAAGCAGAGACATTACTTTGCTAACAAAGGTTCATCTAGTCAAGGCTATGGTCTTTCCAGTGGTCACGTATGGATGTGAGTTGGACTATAAAGAAAGCTGAGCGCAGAAGAATTGATGCTTTTGAACTGTGGTGTTGGAGAAGACTCTTGAGAGTCCCTTGGACTGCAAGGAGATCCATCCAGTCCATCCTAAAGGAGATCAGTCCTGGGTGTTCATTGGAAGGACTGATGCTGAAGCTGAAACTCCAGTACTTTGGCCACCTCATGTGAAGAGCTGACTCATTGGAAAAGACCCTGATGCTGGGAGGGACTGGGGGCAGGAGGAGAAGGGGACGACAGAGGATGAGATGGTTGGGAGGCATCACCGACTCGATGGACATGAGTTTGAGTAAACTCCGGGAGTTGGTGATGGACAGGGAGTCCTGGCGTGCTGGGATTCATGGGGTCATAAAGAGTCGGACACGACTGAGTGACTGAACTGAACAGAACTGAATAACTCGTGATATTTTCTCATGGTGAAACATGATTGGTTCTTCACAAAAGTGTTCCATTAATGCAGCTCTGAGTTATTGAAAAGATAGAAAAGATCATTTTAAAAAGATAGCTTTGAATTAATCTGATGGAACTGAGTTAAGGAAAACAAATTGTGTATTTTTACTACTAACACTGTGGGCAATAGAAATAATTCCTTTTCACAAGAATGATTAAACATTCTGGTCAATTTATTCTTCCACTTAACAACTAGGAATCCTTGGTTAGTTTTGTCCATTCTCTTTGCTTGGCTACCTGAATTATTTTAAAAATCTTCACACACAAAGGTAAAGACAAAATTTATGAACCCACCTGTATCACTGATCTACAAATCTAAAATCATTTCTTTTTATTCCGTAAAAATCTGCAAGAATTTATAGAAGAAGAATTTCTTTTAAAAAAAGAAAGCCAATGAACTATTCTTAAGAATAGGCCAACAGACAAGCAAGGAGCATTTTCCTCACCAAAGAAATAAGGTCATTTTGTTGGAATAAAGAACAATCATAGCTTCTGACCACAATTTCAGACATCATCCTGAAGGCTAAAAATCTACTCACATTCATGAAATAACTTATTATCAGCTTTTTTGTTATAAGTATTCTTTATTAAATATATACACATATACAAATTTTACTGGGCTTCATACTACTGGCATCAATTTGTAAATGAGGAGTTTGGACTGGATGATTTCTAAAGTATTATTCTGCCTTAAAATTATTGAAGATTCTAAGAAACACCCAGAGACAAAGCCAAGAAGGAATTCTCAGATTTGATTCAAACTAATATTCGGTATTTGCATGTTTTGTAGGTCTCATATACAACCACTTCAAGGCAATTCAACAACTAAAAAACTAATACCAATTAATATATATTTTTTCTAAAAAAATAAGAAATACTGTTGACAAGGTGGCCATTTCTATCAAAATATTCCCCCAACATCCAGAACACATTCATTCACATACCCCAGATCAGGAAGAGAGAAGTACAGAAGAAAACTCTTGGAAGTAACACAACAAAAAAAACTAGGCCTAGATTTAGAGGCATAGGACTGCTGAAAGAAAATTAATTAAGCTGTTACCCCTACCTAATTAAAAAAAAAGAAAGATCAGCACATGAAAATCCTGATAAACAGCATTAACAGCCTCGGCAGCATCCGACCCAGTCATGATTTTTGTTTCCTTTACTCCATTCTTTTACTGTTCTTATAATTTTAAAATACTCACCTTCGTTATGAAACTGTACAAAAATTCCCCCAAGAATAAACATAAAACTGCCCAGAAATAGGAACTATGGACACAAAAACTCCCTAGAAGCTTAGTATTTCACCAGCTGATATAGCTCTATGCTGGGAAAAGCATCTAAAAGGCTTTGTACTGAATTCCTGATTCTGATGATTCTGTGATTCTAATCAAATTCTATTCTCATTCTATGCAAATTCTACATGTGATTCTGATCAAGTTTGAGACAGGTCATCTATAAGGTCTTACAGTGCCCAGATTACCACTTTGAGGTACACAGTGCTTTTCATTAAGAGAACAATCTTTACCACATTTTCATTTATACATTGAAGTCACTTGCTGAAGTTGCGTTAATGCGTACTAATCTTCAAAAGTGGCTACGTGAATAATACACTTGGTATCCTCTATCAATATAGCAGAAACAAATATTGTGTCATCAGACTCTAAATAAACCTCCTCCACTGAAGAATGCAATGGCCTCTGCTAGCTGATGGTTCATGAGCATGCACTCACTCTCCTATTTGAGGAAAAGTTCAGGTAAAGGGCAGAGAGCTTTTCTGGAGAGACAGTGTCTAACATAGTGCCTGGAACACGGGAGGCTCTGAATATATGTTGAAAGGATATATAACTGAATGAACTGCTATCAAAAGGAATTCACACAATAAGTTAAACTTTGGCTCCAAGTACACATGTTCAAGTCAACGGTTGGCTCCTATTCGGCCAGCACATGGCAGGAACACACTGTTCCTGGTCTCAGAGGTTTCATCTATTGGTCAGTGTTTGCTGTGTTCCATTTTTCTTTTAAAAATGTTTCATATAAGAGGAAAAGTCCTGTTCTTGAAGATACTAAGAGGATCTCCAAAAGTTACTGTGGCATATCATATCCAAAAATTCTGGTTAAGAGCAGTGCCACTGGGAAATTTAGGGTGGTTGGTTGATATTCATAGTGTGTATTAGAAAATATCATAGACTGTTTTCAAAATTCAATGCATAAATATGCACCATGGATCTCTAATAGCCCTGTTTCACTTGTCCCAACTTTTCAGGGTAGTCTGTATTCCATCTAATTTGAATGCTGAATTGATTCTATTTAAATCATCTTTCTGAAATGAAAGATGGCTCACTTTCCCTTCACTAAGGAATTAATTAACTCTCCCAATGACTGGCTTGAATTTTTTAAATGGAAAAATTACATGGAATTTTTATTTTAGTAAAGAACAATTGTTTATCTTTAAAAACATTTAAAAAGACATTCTGCGTGAAGTTCATCATCTTTTAGGAAACTACTATAGCAACAAAATTACATTAGACTTTCTGATTTCTCCATAGTGTCCTTAGATAAGTAAACAACCCAATAGACCATATTAAATGCCCCAAATGTTACTGGAAAGAGAATGCGGGCATATTTGTCTATTTTACTCGTGCCAGATCCAGACGGTGGTGGAGCAGAGGGGGCAGTAGTGGCTGACAGCTTCCCAGAAGTCCCTATGCTATTAACTGTGGTCTTAATTCGCTGCAGTCTTGATCCAAACAGAGGCTGGGTTGAAGCAGATCCAGCTGGGACCTGTCGGGGCACACGCCCAGTTCTTCTAGGAGTAGAAGGAAGAGCAGATGGAATCGCTCTTGCGGCAGATATAGTTTCAGCTGCATCTGCACGGCTAAATGGGTTTGGACTGGAAGCTAAGTAAGACTGTGGTGTGGCTTCAGAAGACCCTTGAGCAGCCGTGGAAGACTTGCTAGAATGGTTTCCCACATCAGCCCTGCTGCCAACATCAGGTTCAGAGTGAGCCGAGGCGTTGGCTCTTTTTCTCATGCTCAAATTGGCGTTGGTGTTCTGAAAAGGTATATCGAAAATTATATTGGTTACATAATTTTATGCAGTTATACAAAATTTAAATGGATCAAATACTTACAAATGAGCTGTTTTCAGAAGCCTTTCTTAATGTGCTACAGCCATTCAGCTTTTTGTGTAAGCTTAAGAATATCTAACTTAAAAAGGACACACAGATATTTGAAACTGAATGAAGCATCTTCTATTTCAAAATATTCTTATGAATAATTAGAATTTAAATCTGTGGAAAGATTAGGCTTTTAGAACTTTGAACTAGAGTTATACTTGATTTTACTTTAAGGGTTCATGATGATAAATACAACATCTTTCTCTAGTTTTACTGATACGCTGTATACATTTCAATGAGTTTAGTAAATGTTTGCTTTATGAACAAGAATGATATCTATTTTTGTGCACAGAATAAAAACAATAGCCATCTATATGTGTATAACATTCCTTTAAAAAGACAGGAACTCCAAAACCTTAATTTCTAAATCCCTGGGAACTATTTTCATAATCTTACATTGACATTATTATATACAATCCAGAAGTCCTAATGCATTTTAGTTTTTCACCACAATTAATAATGTGAATAGAAAGGAAAATCATTTTTAAATAAACTGTTGTATTATAATATAAATATCATCACCATATCATTGCATAAATATCTGAGTTCAAACTACTTACCAATAGTGGTTAAATCAAAATGGAATTCACCATTTTCCATAAAATGATTTTCTGTATAGAACAAGACTGTATCTGAATACAGATGGTAAGCATTAAAATTCTTATATTTTGACAGGCATGATAAATAACCATAGAGCCAACTATAGATTGTCCATACTAATGAAGGAAGGCAATTGCTCAAATGATTCCCAAAATAATCATGTCTATATTTAGAAGATACTGTGACTTTTTGCAACAATCTTTCCTCTTTAATTATGTTTATTCTAAGTTATATTAAGGGTATATTGTAATTGCTTTTTCCACCCTCTTTTCCCACCATTTTACGAAATAAATGGGTGGGTAAGGAGAGAGAGACATGATGAAGAAAACCTCACAAGTGGATGATTAGAAGGAGCCAGCTTGCAAGGAATTTTATGGATAATATTATACAAAACTACTTGTGAGCTCCCTTTACAGAGAAATGTTTATTCTACATGTAAAATATTTTTCCAATACTACACTTATTGAACAGGTTGAAAGCGTTCAGTCCACACATATCTCATAGACTTGTGAATTATGGCCTCAAGTTCCCTGAGTAGAGAGAGAAGAAAAAGCCTTCTTTTTCTGAAAAGCTTTAGGAAGTATTTTTCATGTCAGCCTGGAGTATTCTTCTAAAGAGATTTCAGCTGAACTCATGAGAAGCTGTAGTCTCACATATGTCACATAATTTGAGTGGAAACAAGTGAAACCAAAATTAACATCAACCTAAAAGCTAAAGGTATTATTTGCCTTGTACTTTTCCTATACAAAACACATTATAAACATCACCCGATTAATCCTCAGCTTTTGAATCCCTCTTTACAGAGTTAATTTTAAGATGTTATATTCAAGATGAAAAATTTAAAGAATGATAAGGTATATCCACAACATTTAAAGAGTTTACCATTGGGAAGACAGTATGCACTCTCACACACATGATGCAATCAAAAATATAAGAAAAAGTAAGATAGAAAGAAGGGTCAAACTGTGGCAAAATATTAAATATACTAAGAAAAGAAGGGAAGAAAGTAATAAAGGGCTGATTGGATAAGCAAGAGAGAAATACATATTTTCAAATACAGCATGATATTTGCCTACTGTCTTCTTCCACCAAAAGTTGGGTTGCCCATAATCTTTAGAAACTCCTATTTTCCCTCAGACTAAATTCTAAGAATTGGAGATTTCTCCTTCTGGCCAAAATGGAGCAACAGGAACTGAATTTACTGTCTCACAGGAAATGACAAAAAACACACACACACAAAAAAAAACAAAAACATTTGTAAAACAACGTTTTTGAAGAGACTGAGCATTGGCGAACACAGGACTCAATCAGAGAGAGAAAGGCGAAAGGCGGTTTGCCGGCTGCGGTGAGGGAAGGAGAGTGCGGGGCCATCTGACAGGCCCCCTAGGCTGAGGAGACGGAGCTAGAACGTGGTGAAGTCAAGGTGGCTGGAACTCCCAGGAGAAAACAGCAGAGAATTTGATAATGGGGAAAGAAAAGCCAAAAATCCTGAAGAGTCCCCAGTGAGAAGTTCGCTATGCACAGGTCCAGTTTTGAGTATGAGCTAGCTACCCACGGCAAAGAGGCCCACCTGACAGGATTAGAAAAGCAGCGGGCAGCACACACCAAGCCAGGACCAGGGCACGCTCCCTCCAGACACGGTGGGAAACCGCAACACTTAGGTCGCATCTGCTGGAGTCCTCCAAGAGCCTTGCCTCAGTAGTGTGGAACAGTTAGCTCCACAGGCTGTTCCAATCCTGCCTAATGAATTTTAAAAGTGAGACCTTAAGAGACGAAACTATACGAGACTTAACTGTGCCTCAGAAGGAAGCACAAGAGCCTTGGCAGGACCCTGTCTTCCTTTCTTCCAGATCAGAATCCTTCTGAAATGTTCTGAAACACCAACTGTGAGCTCTGCTCTGATGTAACTGATTGCTTCCCACCTGGCACTAGCTATGAAGAAGCCGCCTGCAATGCAGCAGATGTAGGAGATGCGGATTCAACTCCTGGGTCTGGAGGATCCCCTGGAGGAGTCAGTGGTAACCCACTCCAGCATTACTGCCGGGAAATCCCGTAGACAGAACTGCCCGGCGGCCCCCGGCCATGGGACACATCCGACCAGGCGTGCGGGCCCCAGCAGGAGAGAATGACGGAAGAAGGGTGATGGGGGATGAGGCACGGAGCGAGTGGGTGACGGAGGCTTCTGCCACGCACAGCCTCTGGATATCAAACACGGGGAGACATGAAAGAACCTCATGAACCACACCTATAGGAGTCAGTCAAGTATTTGTAATAGTCAAGTATATTGTTTGAAAATTATTCAAGACTTGGAAATCAGAAAGGAATACAGCATGTCCCTGCAATGTCATTGTGGAGCATGGTTTAAAAAGTCCACCCAAGGATTATCAAGTCTCTAGGAGAGTATACTTGAGTTTGATTTTGCTATTTAATATTGGATTTGACCCCAAACACTGTGAGTTACATATTAACTTATAGATTACTGTTCAGTAGAAAGGAGCACCAAAGGTTATGGTTTTGACTCCCCAAAGGATATTAACTACTTCTATATCTAATCTAGCAGTCTCATTCTAGTATTCTTTTCAAATAATAATAATAATGGTTACTTATAGGCATTCCCCCCCCCCAAAGATTTTGAGCTAGTTTTATTAATAAGTAGTATCCTCTTTATTTAATGAATTAGACAAAACCTTGACATAGATTCATTCCATATTTGTATGACTCACATTTTTGACGTTTTGAAAATTATATTGACACTATCCACTACTAGGCAAGTTTTAAATATCAAAGTAATGTCAGCATAGACTTGAAGAATATGTCTTGAGAAAACAGTGACTTCAAGTCAAAGAGGCAGGATGAGTCTGTGATTGGAAAAAAGAAGCGATGAAGCATGAGGCTTTATGAAAGCAGAGGGAACAGTATGAAGCATGCCACTCAGACTACCATCTGAAATAAAACCTAATCTTCTTATTCCCAGTTTCACAGTATTAGTGAACTTCTGGGATAGGAAGCTATCTTATTAATCATAGTAGGCTAATGCATATAGCAGGCATCTACTTCATTTTTTAATAAATTTCACTGAAGTGGATATAATACAGAATCAAGATTCTTTTTCAGATTAAAGAGGAAGTTTAAGAAACTTTCTATCTGACCTTCAGATGACTATTTCTTTGTTTATGGACATATGTCTCTAATGTTGCAGATAACACCTAAGGTGTATAAATTATCTGGACTTGAACCCAGGTCTGACTAAGAATGCCTAAGAAGTCTCAATACTCTAAATATCATAACCTACAAAAGCAGAGAGGAATTAGACTGATTCAAGGCTTAAATCTTTGCTCTTGGCCAGGCAGTGAAATGATACTGAAGTTATTTTGCAATGCTGTCTCAAGGTCCTCGATGTAAAAAGTAGTTGTCATTTTCCCTGATGACAAACTCTAAAAGGACTGAGAAATCTGCCGACCTAACTGGCACAGGACTCGCTAGGAATAATATCCACACAGCCTTCAAGTATTGGAGCCACTAATGTGTCAGTTAGAGTGATGTCGTGTTGCATACACAGGGCTGAGAATCTCCATCAGTATTCAGCGGATGTACAGTGGTTACAAACAAGAAAAGCACCTAAGCTTCATTTGAATTTTAAAAAATGATTTAGTTTGAGATCATCTTGTCATTAGTCACAATAGCCTGAAGCAAGGGAAACTGTCGGATAGAGATGCGAGGTGGCAGATTTAAACATTACCAACAGATTAAAGCAGCAACAAGCAAACAGGAGCAAATCCCAGCAATTCGTCGATCATGACTGTGATCTGACACGGTTTCTAAAGAAGTATTGTCAACTGCAAAGAGAACATTCGTCTCAACTTATTACTCTAGCAGCAATGAGATAAAGTGACTATGCAGAACGCAAGCTACATTCATCTTGCTTATTTGAAAAGCTAATAAAGTTTAATAAAATGTAATTTAACCCTTCTAAATTAAAAACAAACAAGGCTAATAATGAACAGGTTTATCTTCTAGAATATCAATGAGTCACATACCAAAAAAAAAAAAAATCCAATAATGCAAAGACATTTATTCAAGGCCTGTTCTGACAGGGCTTCGGGGGTTAGACACACATCTTATTTAATAACAAAATAAACAATAAATGGTAAGAGCAGATGAAAAACTAAATCCCAAAGTAATAATTCATGGAAGACCCTCAGTAGTGTTTTTTAAAAATGTTACCAACTAGAAATGAAAAACATTTCCTACAAATAAACATGTTAAATATTTCATC